AAATAAATTATAAATATTTTTTTTTTTCCAAATCAATTAAATAGAAACCAAATATCATTCTAAAACAAAATTTATCCTATCAATTTATCCCTTATAAAATCAAATATTCAAATTTTATATTTTATTTAATTATCATTAATTTTATTATTATTATTTATATTATATATAAAAATTTATTATAATTTTATTATTATTACTTATATTATATATAAAAATCTATTATAATTTAATTAATTATTAATTAATATAATAATATAATATAATATAATATAACATAATATAATATAATATTATATTAATATAATATAATAATATAATAATATTATTTAATGATATAATTATATAATATAATAATATAATGATATAATATAATATTATATAATATTATATAATATTATATTAATATATATAATATGATATAATTTGATATAATCTAAATTTATTTTTCCAATTTAATTAGTGTTTCCAATATCGGTCGCGCTAGATCAAATTGCCCACCAGCGAATTCTTGTTCATTGGTGGCTCGCATAGCAATAAAGTGTGGCCTGCCACTATGATACTGAAATCTGTCAAGAATGATGTTAATAACTAATATTAAAAAATTGGGATTTTTATATTTCATTCATTCTAGGGATGAAATGGCCATGGGACAAAATTAAATTGTTTGAGTCATGCCCCATTTTGGGGGGGCCCATACAGGTACCCTATTAAATTGACCCATACCCCAACATATTGGAAGCCACCAGCCAAACCTAGAACCAGCTACTTGAATGACCGAAGGACATCACCATATGATTGTGACAAGAAACCATGGTGTCCCGCAAATTTTCCCTGAAATCCATGACTAGGCGGCGTCCACATTTTGCATTTCGATACTTGAGGTGGGGTTCCAATTCCTCTCAGGCGCAAAATACCTGGCCATGGCCACATGGTGGGTAGTGTCAGGTGAGGCTGAAGCCCCTTCATCCAATAGTAAATCAGCAGATTTTCCTGCAGCATCTGCATATACCGATATATTTTTTTGGTGAAAGGATTTACTCATTGCCATCGTAACTTTGATGTGCCAAGTCATGCCAAACCCACTACAAAATAACAACGGGAGCACCAAATGCCAATCACGAAGCAAATTCAGACGCAGGATATCTGTCCCTTTCCGTTACCATGACTGTGCTGGCCACATAAAAAAATACACTGTTCACACTCACACACATATGCATATATATATATATATGTATATAAACGCATGCATGCATTTTACATATATATATATATTAAACAATGCACATATATATATATGTATAAATGAATATATGTATATATATATATATAAAAACATGTCACTCGACAAACACACACGCACACACATATATATATTATACCGATGCAATTAAATTATATAAATATCTAGACCAAACGTGTAGCTACATTCCCAACTGTGATAACCAGTAAGCCCTGATGATGCAGCCGAGCTGTTGGCAAAAACCACCCCACCCCATCTGGCGCACCAAATCACGTAGTGATTGGCCAACATGGCGAGCCCAGCATCCACTTCCAAGACAAAGGAAGTGATCTTCACATAGGGATGCAGGGAACTGAAGAGATCATAGACTTGGATCAAGCAGAAGAGAAGATATGGCCAGAAGGCCAAGTGCCAGGTAAGGTAGCCTGAGCTCACGAAAAAATATGGGAGGAATACAGCCGCACCAATCACATGAGGGGCGTTTGAAGATAGTCTGGAGACGGGAAAGATATGCACAAAATCTGCCAAAAAGAGTGCTTTGCCAACAGCATCAATGGGGCACAGCAGCAAGAAAAGCCGTCATATTTTGTGGGGACGTTGTGCTTTCGATTTGTAGTTGGAATCACACCCAATTAAACATATTCCAAAGCAGCGCGTCCAGATTGCCGGCAAGCGACGCAGCTTGTACTGAAAAGTGCCAGGTTGAATACTTTGGACTGCACAATAAAAAGAATAGAGTGACAACGCGTGAGCTTCTGCGAATAGGAAGCTCATAAACATCCTTAGCACTCAGGCTTGGCCAATGCCAAGCGGCCAATCACTTGAGAGTTCCATGTCACGCGAGCAGCGAATCCGCAGGGGCCCAATGGCATAACACCTCTCTAGCCACATCATTGATATTCTATGGCGGGATTTGGATTGATTTGGTGAGTAATGGTGGGTACAGGTGAGGTCAACGGGGTAAACGAATGAATGTTTCTCATACCAAGGCGACCAAAGCATTTGGTTTTGTGAGCGTTAATTCTGATTCTTTGGTTTTGACCTGAAAGAAGGGCTTGAACCCACACACAATAAGACCGGGCCTCACCTAAGCAACTCATCAAGCAAGATGAGATTCCAAGGAGATATTCTGCTACCATCTGCTAGCTGCTAACCCATTTGAGGCCACAAATTACAGTTAGCCGTCGACCGACCATTAACCAAAACCATCACCTTGTCCGAAAGCACCCTCGCCATTCACCTTTGCGAGTCTACTTAGCGCTCCACTGAGTCAGCGGTCATAGACTGTCACTGTGGGGCATCCCCATGTTTTCCACATTTGACAGGTAGAACATAGTAGAACACAGTAGAACAGAATGGTCATTCTGTCAGGTTTGCCGTGTTTCTTGGAACAGAATTTATATTTAACTGTCAAAAGAACGGGTTTCACTTGTACATGTTCTTCCTGGGCCCAGCAGCAGAAGCCTCCCCTGCCGAGGCTCAGCATAGCGGAGACACAGTGGACCACCACCAGGACCAATTTCTCGCAATCCCAGTCGTTCTCCTCGCATGGGGTGGTCAACTAAATGCCACATTTCTGCTGGTGCCAGAGTTCCGATGGTTGAATCATGTTGACTCCAATATATCAACTTAAATTCAAATCCCACACAAAATTTGAGGGTTCGATCCCCCATTGGCTTCTACCAGAGGGAAAAAAACAGGGAGGCTACAGGAGATCTTGGAGATATCGGTCACCGTCCTGCACAGAGGGCACGCATGCCACCAAAACGAGGCCCACTGGGGGGAAGAACTGCCGCGCATTGGCCCAAGACCTTGGCTTTCCAGCTGTCACTGCTGCAGGCAGCGAAGAGAATTGAATCAGGCTGTAAGAATATGTTCGCCAAGGTTTATTAGCTATCTCATAATCATATGTGTCATTTCAGCTTTACCTTAGCGAAGAGAAGTTTGCCAATGTCACGTTTTATGGTTCAACCTAGTGATACATTAGAATTTTGAACATCCAAAAAACAACAAACAGGATTTTATCCAGCAAATTGAGATGATGTTACGATGTTACCTGTTACCAAGCAAGATAGAACACATTGAATACTATGTTTGAAACATGTTGAAACAAGCAACTTAGCTTCATCAGGGTGATAACGCTTCTTAGGTGCCCATCGCACCCACTAAGTCAAAACTATAAGTTGGGTCTCCCGTAAACCTGGCCCTCAGCCAACGACAGCAACAAAATCCACCAACGCGCGCTCACCTGAAATCAGCTGATTCGGGGATGATTGCCTAACGATTCCAGCGAGGTCACTATAGTTTACCCGGGCATATGTATTCTTTGATGCCCAGCAAAAGAAGACAGTCACACACACACACACGCACACACACACATATATATATATATATAAATAACGTTAAAAATTATAATATGATATAATATGATGTTGTTCGTGGTTAGTTTATTGACCTGTGATCCTGGCAGAAAGCACCATCCCTATTTTTCGCCAAGATTTACCCATGAGTCCCTCATTCGAAGATTATTTTCCCTGAGTTTTCCAGGTGCTTCCATGATTTTCCCTGAGTTTTTCCATGCTTTTCGATGATTTTCCCAGAGAAAAATGGCGCCTCCTCCAGCCGAGCCGCAAGTTGATGCACGTGCAGGGGCCCACAGGGAGGTAACAGCCACCCTCCGCTGGGATGCAGCCAGCGTTGCGGAGCTTGAAGGGGTACCTGGCGTATCCCAAGGGGCCAGGGGGTTTAGGAAAATCATGGAAGATCTTCGAGAAAATCATCGCTGATCTTGATGATTGTTGATTTTTCAGAGCATCTAAGTTGGGAAGTCATTAAGAGAATCGCTAGATCTGGGTAGCAGTGCCGCAATGCTCTTTGCGAAGTTGCCCCAGGTTTATGACGGGATCTATGTATGGTGAATGGGGTGATGAGCGTCCAAGTACTTGCAGAAAAACATGTACCTCATAACGACGATATGATTTTTTGAACGATATAGAATCATGGGCCATATGGGGAAAACTCTCCCGGCTTCGGGGAATCACAAGTCTGGCCCGAACTACAACCCATACAACTTCTGTTGGCGTCACTTTGAATCACACCCTAGAAAACGGTATGATGACGATTTGAGTCATCGTTCCATGTAGGGTGAATCATGGCATCTTGGAAACCACAGCCCTGATCCCAAGAGCTGCTTCAGACGAGATGCCAAGAAAGAAGGATACAGAAGGCCTGGGCGACAAGCCAGGCAAAAAGCGTTGAGAATTCAACCACCTGGATTTATTTGCACATATTATCCCCGCTGATACGCGTTCATATCTTTCAGAAATCACTGGGTTGTACGGTTCTACCACTGGGCCACTCTCTCTCTCTCTCTGCCATTTATCATACAATATCTTGGTAAAACCCTTTCAATCCACCAAGGTTTAATGATCCGGGATTGTCATTCCGGCTGTTCGATGGTCCTCAATACTACTGACTGCATGCTGGATGCCTCCAAAAAACAAATGGGATTTCGGGATTTCTATATGTCTCCTGTCCCACAAACAAATGTCACCAGATCCCTTGACAGTCCAAACTTCGACAGCATCATCTTGAGTTGATGGTTTCAATCCATCCCTTAAAACAACTTTTTGACATGCATCATCAACACATTTTTGCAAGCAAGCCATAGTACATAATCCTGCATGGGAAATTTCCATGGCCGTCTCACCAGAGGGTGCCCCTAGCATCCGCCACCAGTCACCAACTTTGCGCCAGGGCACTGCCAGGAGTTCGAAACCAAAGAAAATCCGAGCTTCGACCGAGTCCCATTTCTCGGCAAGGATTTTGAACTGGTGTTGACCAACCAAAAAAAGACATGGACACATTTAGGCTAGGCAACAAATGCAGATGTAACAGTGTAACACACGCAATTAGAAGGTTGTGAGTTATGACCAACAAAAACTGGGGACGGGGATGCTCAAAAACTAGAAACATGTTCGACCGACTGCAGTTATGTATGGGTGACGCAGCAATGGGCATTTGGGAGGCAATGGTACCCCTAGAAAAACCATGTGTGAGGAGCCTCTTTTGGGTGGCTTTGGTATACCATCACACCATGTGCCATCATCAGTTGCATGTTGATTGTACAATGATTGTACAACACATGGGGGCCTTACCTCCGCAAAACGAAAATGGTTTCCCTATCTGCGCTGGACAAATCTTGTCTGATATGGCCACCAATCCTCACGTAATCACCCCTGTAAAATCTACCAGGACGTGACCCTAAAGATGGGCTGGTGTAAAAAAAACATCACTATTAAAATCATTTTAAATCTGCAATTTTCTGGGCCCAGGGATTTCCGTTTAAAGAACACTGGCTCTTCCTCAACATCTGCGCGGTCTCACCCAAGGGGCCGACACCAGCTCAGAGACCGTTGCGGGCAGAAAGGAATTCTCCAGCTTGCTGGTGCCAATGGTCCCGCTGAAGCCCCTCAACATCAATGGTATCACCTTGGGCGACTTAACACCAGAAGACAGTTTCCATTTCCTACTGTGAGCATGTGGTTCTTGACCATGGACACATTTTGAATGAGCTATACCGGCGGTATGCCCACTTACTATCCGCTTATAAGGCTATCATCAAGGTACTCACACATGTACGGGGCCCTAAACCCAGGGAAGCTAACAAAGAATGACTAGACTAGCCGTGACCTTCACATGATGTTCCTTCTTGGAAATTGGGGAAGTCCATTGTGAGAGCGAATCGGTGCAGCACAAGCCCCATCCGGTCTGGAAACTTGTGCCCTCTTCAGCCGATGAACACCTTGTAATTTGCAAAGGCATTTCGGGGTGTTACTTATGATCCGGGACTATCCGGACCATCTATTGGCTTGCAGCGTCCATGGCGTTCAAACGCCAACCTCTCCAAACACAAGTGCTAAGGACTCCCTGGGATCCGATCTGATTGTGGCAGTATCGTGGGCCATTCCAGGAACATCGTCAGCATGGTATGGGCCTTTCTGGCCTGGAACTTCAATATTCGCAATTTGGAGATGTTTCTTGGGCATTGAGTTGGCTAACCAAAGATACACCAACAGCATTCAACAGCATGATTTTCCAATTACTTGGCTCTTCCCCAACTTATATGATCCAAACCAAAGCTGCAGCCATATTTAGCCGCCCCATTCACCAAGCTTTTCTGCTCCAGCAAGGTGCTGCAATGATGAACCCAAGGGCGCCCAGGATGACACCCAGCAGCAAATACGAGACACTTTGGTCCTGGGATTGGTGGCCTGGGGGCCCCAGGTCGGACTGGAATCCCACTGCAGGCACAAACTGGTCCAGATGGACATCTGGGTTCGAAGAGAAACTTGGATCCCCATTTTCATTGGTAAATCTTATGTTTTTCCCCCTCTTAATCCACATGATTTGTTGTGATGGCAATCACCAACACTCAATGTTTGATCAGGCTCCATCCTAATGTCATGGATTTGCTGATTCGGGCCCCCCCAAAAATAAAACATAATCCATACAGATTCCCCACAAAGGGTGAAGTCCCATTTGGAAAATAAAGATATCACCAACTCAGCAATCCAAGGGAATTTTGTATACCGGTATGACCAATTGTAGCGGGGAAGATGATGATGAACCACTAGATTCAGGGGTACCGGAAAACCCGCTTTGCGATCTGCTCTGGGAAGTCCTACCATCTCTTCCAGTAGACGTCAACTACCTACTGTATATGGAGAATCCACGAGATTGACATTCATCTAAAATATCAAGATACCAAGTGTCAATGTAATGCCTTGAAGCATGTTGAAGTTGAAATACCGTGTCCCTCGCACGGTTTCGCGACCCTGTCGGTGTTGTGTCCGCGTCCGCCATGGCAGGACGACGTTGGGCACCAAAGTTGGGAAGTTATTGAAGATCCCAATGTTCGTTTGGATAATCTATGGCTGATGATACCCCTTTCAATATGCAGGATAGAATAATAAGGTGCGCACTCCAATGTAAAGAAAAGAAAACACACCAGCTACATCTGAAAATCAAACAGCTACACTGACACCTGATACATGGGGTAACCCCCCCCAACTCCCAAGCTTTCACCACGGGATCTGTGTAGTACACCCACGAATGATGACAACGCACTTCCAAGCGCTTGACGCTGAAATGCTGCCAGACATGTCGAGGATGGCGGCGCAGTGGGTTGTAAGGAGTTGAGATCTTGGGCCGACAAGGTGCAGAATCAATCTCCAAAAGCTCAACAAAATACTACATCGGAAATGTCTACATAGTCACAGCCCAATTCGAGTCTACAATGTGATGTACTATCACTTAATAGTCAATAGATGTCAATAGTTCGAAAGCAAGTAGTAGAACCACCTGGTTGGTGACAAAACGTACAGCCCGACAAACACGACTCAGTCAGATGGACTTGGATCAATCCAAGGTGGGAAGGGTACCCCAAATCCAATGGGCTGTCATCATTTTTCCCGCTGACAGTGCTATGGTTGGAGTATACGGCATGCCCAGTTCTGGTCAAACCCCAGCTCTGCACCAATAAAAACGCATCAACAAAAAAAACTATGTCCAAGGCACTTTCAAACATACAGTAGGTTTGAATTTGTTTGGTTAAAGGGACAGGTTTGAAAAATCTTGACTCAAATAGTTCACCTTAAAAATCTCAGGTGACTGGAAAAGACCTCATTTTCGGGGTTATTCCTGAGCGAGCCGCCCGACATTGACATGATTCCCTCGGCCTTGTTTTGCTGCATGCAGACTTAGTTTTTCTATTCTTATCGCTATTTTAAAAATCGATAAAATCAATTGACGGATCCGCTCGCCAAATGCCGCGGATGCCCCGCAACAGCGTGGAAAAATGAAATCCAAACATGATGATCCGCACTAGTTTGCTCAAATCCAGGGTTTCCAAAACCGGTGGATCTCCCAAGTCTTAAACATTTTGAAAATCGGGTTTCAATATCTGAGGAGCACATCTTTCATCATCCGCTTGTCAGCTTCGATACTCAGGGCCTCGGAGAAAAAGCGACGAGCAGACTGGTTCAAACCACAAAAGGGATTTCTTTGGCAGCGAAAATTCACAAACGACAAGTGCAAACATTAAAATGTTGTGAAAGCAATGTCATACACCAGCCATATGGATTGATTATTGATTGATTGATTGATTGGTTGGTTGGTTGATTGATTGATTGTTACAACCGATTCGGTTGGTCAATTTGGGGATCCTCCTGGTTCCCCGACTCAGCTTGGAGGCTGCGGCCTTCCCAGGGCCATTCATCAACCAGGATGGGGGGGTGACCATTTCACAACGCTTCGAACGCCAATAGTGGGGAACTCCTTGAAGCCAGGATCGAACTCAAGCCAAACCTCAGGTTTGCATGTCTTTCCGTATTCAGAACTGGGTTTTCACAGATTATTTCAGATGTGCAACAGTAATTCAGGGTTCAGGATACTAACTTTAGATCCCAACATGTCCGCTTGGCCTCATCCAGCAGCCACGTTGCTGTGGATCTCAACACCTGCTGCGATCCAACAGGGCAGCTGGCGTTGGGTGCATCACAAACATGGAAACTGCCAAGCTCCCCACATGGTTAATAATCCTAAACGGACTTGAAATCAACACTTCGTTGGAAAATACTGGGAACAGTGTGGGATATATATAATATATAATATATAAATATATATTATAAAATTATATGATATATATATATACAATATATGTGTTCGTATTTAATGGTCCATTCTTGTGTCAACTTATTGGTTTTATCACCAACGTTTTAAAGGGGGGACGTACCCAAAATGTGAGCTACATTGTTAAAGGTGTTTTTGAGGGGGGCCTTGAAATTCCTTGAAAATGTAAACTTACATTTTGAAGGTATTTTGAAGACCCTCCCCACAAAAATGACACCTGGGGGACGTTCAGCAACCAATTTTCGATGTAAGGGGGGGGTCCAAAAAATGCATCTTACCTTTTGGTATGGTCTCCCCTGAAAAGTAGCGTTATTAAACAGGTGGTGATCTTTTTTAGTGTTGTTTTCACCTTTTGGTGGGCACAGTGAGCGACATCTTTGGTAGGGCAACACAAGGTGAAAGGAACTGCCAGGCTGCCTGGAAGCCTAAGAATGGCTTACAGCATTTGGGAACTCCCTGTATTTACAGGATTCCCCTAGGTTCAGGGCGGTAGCCTTGCTGTCCAAATATGTTGATGATGCAATTCTTTCTAATCATTCCCTGCAATTTTCTATCCCAAGAATGTGAAGTATATAGTATATAACATCGAACATTATTATCATCACCTATATTCCGGTCCAATGGTGGATGAAACCCCAACCTTTGTAAGCAAACATCGCAACTTATCACAGGTTAACCGCTACCAGGGTAACGTCCCCCAGGCCTGTGCTGGAAAAGCCTGTGGCCCTTCCATGCCTTCGATGGCCGTCTTCATGGCCTGCGACGGCGGCAATCATGGCAAGGCAGTGGCCGAGTTGGATGATCAACATGAAAGTTGATGGGAAATCAAAGGTCAAAGGAAATCCCGGGCTACACTCTGATATTCCCATCAAACAGAACATGAACATGAATGCAACTAGCAATTGATGCCAACATATTCCCATCGAACATAGAATGCAGCCAACGATTCATGAGAATATCATGCGAAAAAAGCAGCCACAAAATTCGATCAATGATAGAAAATCTTTCAAGGGTTGCCTAGCACAATCGCTTTGCATCACCCGCAGCACCACAGAAATATATTATAGTGGTTGCTCCAAAGCGTATCAACTGTGGCCTGGGTCTGCTTGTTGTTGGACTTAGCTCCCAGCAACTTGCCCCCAAGAAGTCTGTACGCACACTTGATGCTCAATGATCCCCGTGTTTAGTGTCTAATCCCAACATGCAATGAATATGTACGATCTTTCTAGGGGTGCCGGTTTCCCCCGTTTTTTTTTTCCAGCTTTCCAGTTTTTTTTTTTCAGGCCCTTTGCCCTGGGTATGGTTTCTGGTGTTTCTTTCGGGTTGGTTTGGGATTTATTTGGGATTGGTTTAGGGTTGGTTGAAACTCTGTTTGGGGTTGGTTTCGGGTTGATTTAAGGTTTGTTTTCTTGGGATAGGTCTGAAGTTTATTTAAGGTTCGTTTAGGGTTTATTTGCTGTAAGTGTATGGTTTATGTTAGACTTTTTTGAAACATTTATTGAAAGTTGTTTGTGTGTTTTCACGGTTGGGTTGAAATTTATTCAAGGATATTCAAGGCTAGTTTTTAGATAATAGTTGGTTTAGAAGTTTAGAATGTTGGTTCAAAGTTTAGGGTTTCCTTAAATTTGTTTGAGGCAAATTCACCAGTTTGTTGCATTATATATCTTACTACAACCTCAAAATTTCCTCATATATCCCCAGTACACCTCTATGCTCGCCCATTAGCATTTGGTGGTACATTCATGATCTCCTGCGATCTGCGCACAGAGTGCCCCAGCTGGAACCGCACCTCTGACTTGCCCATGGGATACTTCTCCGAGACGCCCGCCGAAGCGACCAGCACCTGCTGGTAGCTTCGACTCTCTGCGCTTTGACGCTGGGAAGAAACGTGGAGAAAACATGGGTAAAACTCAGAACATCTAGAATCCTGAAAAATATAATGCATCAGAAATAGGTTTGAAGGCTTGGATGTTTTTCATTGTGAAAGGTTTCATGATGATGATGTTGTTGATGATGATGATGATCATCATCATCATCATCAATCAAACAAATCCAAAATCGGATGCGATGCCAAACTTAGATTTGTTGGGTATGTTGGGTGGTTAAAAAATGTGAAAAACAAGCCCTCTGGAACCATGACCGGAAACAGTCCCAAAGTTCCAAACACATGATGCCAGAAATTGACTGTGCTGATTATATGGGGCTCCAGGTCAAGGCATTGTTGTCATGGAGGCATGCCCTTGTCATCTTTTTTTTCGTATTCTCAGCATGGATAGACCAGCATAACTGAATGGCTACTACATCAACCAGAATAGAAAAGCAATAGCTAAATAATATCTCATCGCCGGACCCACTGGAACCTCACAAAGATGAAAGCAGCAGTGCTTTGCAAAAGATCGTGGACACGTGCATGCTAAGCTCCTGAAAAAATGATTATGTACCCTACTTGAAGACCTTCTTATTATCGGGGCCTCCCATGTTTTCCATCGATGTTCTGGGGTCAATGCCACGACCTTCCCAAAGGAACCACAAGGTGCTGACCGTCTTAGCCGCCATCATCGCTTTGGGCGACAAAGTGATGCTGGGCGGAGATTTCATATCGACCTGTTGGGTGGCCATTTTTAGGGGTAACCAAGGTCTCACACGAAATTGTATCTGGTTAGTGGCTTTTAGTGGTTACATCTCATGAAATGCTCATCAACACCAAACAACGGGGAAAAGTACATGATTGGAGTTTCACTCGAACTTTGTATTTCAAGCCAGCCCTCAGAATCGACCGGGGCAAGGCCTCAATCCAATCCCAATCTACTGGCATGGGGCTGCGGGCAGTCCTACACTCAGCCTCAGACTGGCAGAACCCAGCGACCGGATTCATCTGCAATCTCCTTGAAGGAAATCGGTTGTTTCTTCGTCTGCTTAGTCTATTGTAATATTGTCTTTTGTGAGCCAGAGTGCGGGTTTTCCAAAACATCTTGTGGATAGGTTCTATCAATAATTACCGGCTGTTTCACAGGGGTTCTCATGACATGATGAAAGATCAAACTCGTCCCAACAACACATGCCAAGAAACATTCCAACACATATTCTATTGTTTTTTCTGACAATGATTTGCCATTCATGATGATAACCGTGGCTGTAAATGCCAAATAATGACGGGTCATAAAACGCTCGAGGTCAACATGGTCAACTCACAGCTCAGACTTCGAATCTGTCCTGGCGCCCCGGGTACAGTGACCCAAAGTGTCCATCATCTCCCACACCGATGAGACAAATGTCCTCAGTTTCACCCGATGCTTCTGCAAAGGTCAAAAGGCTATCATGCATTCAAATCCCTACAGCACATGTAAAGTTATGTTTATCACTGTTATGGATGATTTTTCAAAAATAACTTCCAAATTAAAACTGTCTGGAAACATGTTGTGTCTACCAGGGTGTCCGATATCCAAGCCCGACCACCAAACACATGTTCAGTTCCACTCCTACACAAACCACCAAAAAACACGACACCAGGGCTGCTGTCAAGCACTGGGATATGATATGATGCAAAATCATCAGCCTCAAAAAAACTGATGGATTCAAATGCAAAACAGCAACAATTTTGCCTGTCCATCATGGTCCATTGGTGCCCAAATGCCTTGAACCAAAGCCGTTTGAAGATTCGGGAAGTTGCATGATCCACCAGCCAAAGTAACCCGTTCCCAGGGTTCCAGGCAAAAACGGGCATCCCATCTGTCCGCGGCAGCGTGGTCTCCGGCAGGGCTTTGAGCTCGGCCTGGAGGCGAAGAAGATGATGGGCCCAATGGGTCAATGGGTCAATGGGTAAAATTGACCCTTTGGTTGGTTGGTATAATCTGGATTGATATGGTGTAATTCGTTATAATATGGTGAAGATAACATCATTTATTCAGATTTAGTATGGCGACGTTTGGTGGGATGTGACGTGTTCCTTTTGACATGTGAATTGTTGGAAGGAAGGTATGCAATATAAACTTGCCTTTCCTGCGTCTGGTTTTTTCTGTATTAGGGGCAATGCTTCCGGGGCTGTGGCAAACAGCTGGCTGAGCAGGGAAACACTGAAAAAGGGAATCACTACATAACAAGTTGTGTGTTTGTGCGTGCTTCAATTCAGACAGGGTGGTAAAACCAAAAATAAACCATCTGATTAACCAACCCTTTGGGACTCATTTCAAATCATCCAAATACGGGTATACAAAACATTAAACCTCTACTGGGGATGGTTTATTATTGGGTTTACCAGTTTACCCCAATAAACTCATTAAACCTATTCTGTTTGCGGCCAGGCAGGGCCCAGGTCCAGCCACGGATAGTGCACGCAACAATATAAGTTGGTCTTTCCATCAGCATGGCAAAGTTCACCCTCTTTGGCAGCTTCCCGTTTCCAGCTGTTACACTGAAGAACATGATATTATTGACGGTTGTTTGTGTTTCCATTGTTGATTATTATTGTTCCCCACCTGCCAGGTGACGGTTGTTAGATTTTATCACAGCTGTTCCGGCTCCTCCTTGTCCTCCTCGTCGTCCTCCTTCTCCTCCACCACCTCTGCCTCCACTTCCACGTCCACTTCCGCCTTGCCAACTCTTCGCTCTTCGCCAGCTTCCGCGCGCAGTGGGCACTGCTGGACCTGAACAGCCGGCTTCCGATCTGATTGGGCACGGCTGAACCTCAACCGCAAGGTTCTGAGCGCAGTGGGCACCGCTGGACCTCAACCAGGGCCCTTCCGAGCCCAGGCTCACTGGGCACCGCTGGACCTCAGCGGCCAGATGGAATGCCAGAAAATATGCCAGAAAGACTGCGAGAATATATGCCAGATAGACTGCCAGAATATATGCCACATAGAATGCCACGTAGAATGCCAAAATATATGCGAGAAAGAATGCCACATAGAATGCCAGAATATATGCTAGATAGAATAGAACGCCAAAATATATACCAGATAAAATGCTGGAAGATATGCCAGATAGAATGGCAGAAAGTGTGCCAGAAGATATGCAGGATAGAATGCCAGAAAGAAGATTTGCCAGATAAACGGCCAGAAGATAGCGACACAGAATGCCAGAAGATACTCCAAATAGAATACAAGATCATGTCGAATAGAATTTTAGTGGATCACCCGAAGGAACGTCATTTGTGTTTCTTTGCTGGTATCTATGTCATCCTCACCATGATATGTCATGGTGGGGATCACTCGAAGTAAAGTACTTTATTATAATTGGTCACATCGAAAGATGGCCTACCCAAACACAGGCTACCCACTACTCTGACCCACAAATCAAAAGTCGAGTCTAACTGTCAACAAAAAAGACAAGAATTACGATTGCCACTGCCAAGGTTTCAGGAGTGTGTTTCCTATTGCAGGTTTCAATCTGAAGCGTGTGCTTCAATAGACAGGTTGGATTGCTACGATTCACCTGGTTTACTGGTTCATTGGGCAACATCCCTTCCAACCCAGTTTGCGCACTGATATGAGCTACTTGTTCCAATATCCCATGTAATAAATTGTAAAAGCCAATGGCCGCCAACTCCTTTGAGGTGGTACCCCTATAGCTGAATGAAGTGCACCCATGTACCTCCCATTTCTGGCTAAATTGTTGTACATTGAAAGTCCAGAATTAATTCTAACTACACTGGGATCTTTATAATACATCTCAAATATTGAAATTACATGCTATGAGGCCATAAAAACCCATAACCCATAGCCACTATGATCTCTGGATCCACCATGGATGATCCTCCCAATGTCCTCCCATCGCACCTCGTAGCGCTGAGCTTCCGCCTCGCCCTCCCCGGAGCCGCCCATGGTGATGACCTTCAAACCGGGCCAGCCTGGCGAAGCGCGGCCGGCAGGGTTGGCGCGTAGCTAACGGAAAACATAGAGGGAAAATCAGCAACAAATGGGGATGTAACCAAAAATGTGGTTGTGTAACTATTTTTAAAGAACATATTTAACCAAGATTGTTATGGACAGTTCCGGATCAATAATTATGATTTATATTGACTTACGATGGAATCCCTGTGACACCGGTACCTGTAAACCTTTACCTTGTAGATCCACTTAGTTGCACACTGGTTGCACACCCCGCGCTCTTCAACGAGTAGAAAGGGCGCACCTGAGAGGAACAAATCCATGGCCTGTGCTGGTGGTGGTGCTGTCATAGTGGATAGCGCTGGGTGATGCTGGGTGACATGAATCTACAACAAATTGATTGCAGAAGAACCCGTTGCCGATGTGTTGGAGCCAGTTGTGAAACACATCCATGGCAAACCTAAGTACATCGAAGCAACTATTGGATCTGTTGAGTGGCTGAAGAGCTGATTGAAAACCAATTGGGTGATCTACAAGGTATGGGTTCAACCACCATAAACATTGGCTGTTGAAGTTTTACCTCTTTATAAATGCCGCATATGTTGGTGTTATATCCCCCACCTCTGCTAGGTTTAAAGTTTTTGTATATATATGTTGTATCCAGGCATCAGCCACTGGTGCCCTTGCCCTGGCCTTCTTGTGTGTGGCGGCCGCATCGTCGTTGCTGACGCACTTGTGGTTGACGTATGCCATGACCTGGGCCCATGCCGTGTCATTCCAATGATTTGGGTGGCTAGAGATAAGAAGTATTGACAATTGGGAAAGCCGAGGAAAACCGAATGGGGGAATGCACCTTTTGTTTTACCGGGAAAATTTTTGGGGAAATATGGATGGTTGGAAGATGTCCCAGGCTTGGGGAAAACCAATTTAGATTTGTCCGTTTCGAAGTCTTGGAGAAACTCAAGCAACTAGTAGTGCATCGACATAAAACCAAAAAACAAACCACATATTTATACACATTTCCAACATTTTCCAGCTAGATCAACTACTCTTCTCCCAACTCAGTTTGTTTGATTCTGAGCACCTGCTAGTTGCTCAAAATGTATCCCTGTCCACGATCACCCAAGCTGACTGTGGAGCCCCACGCCCTTGTCCCACTCGATCCCTGGCGACGGTTTGGTTCATCACTCCCGCAAGGAGAAACTTGTTGGGTTCAACCCAGTCCAACAAATGTGGCATAGGTTTAATCCTTTTACATGTTTGAATTGCCAAGGAAACAAGACAACAGCCGATCTGAAAATTGAAACCATCTGTTTAGGACCCTAAGATATCCCAAAATGGAAATAGAACCGTTATTTGATCCTTGGGTTTCTTTGCATTCTTCGCAAAAGGTGTCGGAAAAAAACAAGTTATACGGTTATACTTAAGCATGGGAACATCTCCAGGGCCGTTGAAAATGAAGCCTCGCATGTCCGCAATCATTGCAAACACATGCCAAAAAAATCCAGAAAATAACATGGCAAATCTCACTTGGGCGACCATCCCAGCTAATGGTTGGTAACCATGGCTCCTACCCCGCAATATCCAGTTCAAAACTGGGCCATAGCTACACCCTGGAACCAAATGCATTTGTGTCAGTGGGCCTTCCAACTCCGCAGTGCCGCCGGCCAACATCTGGGGCGGAAAATGCCGCAGACGGCGTGATCAACTTGTCATGTCGTGTTGGACATCTTTTGGTTGGTAGTTGAAGCACTAACTTGTACAACATAAAAGTCAATAGGTATCATCATCTCATGTGTTAGGACCGAAAAAAAAAACTAAACCCACCAGCCTCTGGTCATCTTTGCACTGCTCCCCCACAAGGTGACCCGAACTAGCGGCACCTTCAAAATGGAGCAGCCCGGAATGGCCAGAGCAAAGGCCCCCCGCTCTGCCACCGCGTCTTTGCAGGCTTTCGCCACCTGGGATAAGCAGATCTGCAGCGATGTAATGGACATCGGGCCTTGGGGATGTGAATGGACAAAGTTGATTTTTGATGGACAACCTGGAATGCCAAGAAGACATTTGGGATTTGGGATAATCTTGGAATCTTTGGGATATTTGCTGCCCCCTTCGTTGAGCTTTGGCATGCTTTGGCACACCTATTGGTAAGAATCTTGGACCTGCATAGGGGGGCAAATTTTCTGGGCGTGTGACCCCGGCCTGCTTGCACAAGTTGGAAGCCACTGCGTCAGCATCTGGCATGACGATGACGCTACCTGAGGGCTCTTCAGACAAGAATTTCTTTCTGCCTTTGACCTAATACAGCATGCGCAAAAAATTACCAACATGTACCCTACTACCCTAGAGTGGCAGACCATATGTTTGTCATTGGAATCTATTTTGGTTGGTGAAACAGTGAAAGAAACGAAAAAAGCTACTACCAGAGGATGATTACCATGAAACCCAAACGATTCTTCCCTACCACCATGACAAGTCACTGGCGGCCGCTGGCGGCACGGTGGCCGGCAGCGCATGGAGCCGCCCGCGCGAGGGACCGCGCACGGCACGGCGTCTGGAGCTGTTGGCCTGTGGGTTGCGGGGGGTAAAGCAACCTGTTGGGGGGTTGCTTGTGAAATAGCATCCAGCTGTATTTCTGTTTGGAAGGAATACCCCAAGTTCTTGACAATTTCCAGACCATGGAAAATTAGGTGGTTAAAGGTGGTCATGGGCAATCATGCGCAATGTAAATGTGTACCACAAGTAGGTCATCACATGAGGGTGGTTTGGAAGGTTTCGTTCTGCGATTGTCTGGACAGGTTGTGAGTAGAGGTCAGCGAGATGCTGGGGCATTTCACTGTGATTTGCAAACAATCCTTTGATTAACCCCGAAACTTTGTTGGTCATATCATATTCATGTTGAATTCCAACTTTCCAGTTTACATGTCTTGTTGATGTACATCTATGAACCTATGTTCTAGCCGTGTTTGGTTGGTAAACATCTGAGACTAACAAACTTGAAACCTCACCCCCGGACAGCCCATCTGCGCCCAACCCTCCTGAACCAGGCCGATGACCCCCGCCGCCAGCAAGGGCACTGTGGCGCTGTGGCGGGACCCTCTAGGCGCCACCGAAAGGCGAGGTACCTGCGTATGGAGGACATGCCCTGTCGTTTGGCGTCTTTTGGCCGAAGGCAAGCAAAGTTCAACCACCAAAACTGGGTATTTGATTGCAACATTTGGATTAAAATATACTATACACCATTATACTATACACCATTGGGCAGACCGCACCTCTTAGCCACTGGCCAGAAACTGGGGCTACAACCCAATCATAGAAAGCAAAGCCCCAGCCACATCCCCAGTCAATGCTCTCATCAACCCAGCTTCCTCAACCGTTGCTTGATTAATGGATGCAGCGGTCCACCTGAAGTGGAAGCCCTGGTGCCGGCTGCACCACACGGGTCGCAATGGGCACCACGAAGCCTGCACAGGGCAACACGCTGCACCCAAAGGGCCCAAGGGTTTCCAAAAACAATTGGTCGCTGGTTTCAACACATCCCCAATAACGAAGAATGATGTGTATCTTCATCAATTTTATGATCATGCTGATTGGGTAGGGGCCGAGTGGAATCTGAGAAGCAGAACCGGCCAAATGAAAGTCTTTCATGGGCTGGTTTGACTTTGATGTTTTAGTGTGATGATCATCAGTGGATCATGGCACTGAAAGTAACTTGCCAGAATTCATGGGAAGGTGTTGCTCATGAAAGTAACTTTAAATATGGGGCCTAAATAAGGCCAATAAACCGTTGAAGTGATTCGACAGGATAGTGGTGCTTTGGGATCCCTTGAGGCATCAAGGTCTTCAAGGCACAATGATGCCTTGCATCGCCATGGCACGCCAACAAACTAGGGCCCAAGCAGGGCAACTGCAGTTGGAAATCAATGAAAATCACCCCACCAGAGCGCATGACATGCCACTACTGTATAAACCATGAGCCTGTAGAAGTTGCATTCTGACAGCTGGCACTTTGTCGTCCCATAAGCTTTCAGGCCCAATTTCATTAAAAACAGTAAATCCACAGGTTTCACCCCACCTGAAGGAGACCAACATCAACAACGTCTGTGAAAATTATGTTTTCCGTGCTTTGAACCAAGCAGCTATCGCAGCGATTGGTCACGGGAGGTAGGGGCAATTGATCCGCTTTCAACTGGGGTTCAAGATTGTGTGCAACTGGTTGGTGGGGAGCCACCCATCCCGAAAAATATCAAAACTCATTCAAACGTGTTCCCCTCATATCATGATTGAGAGAAACAAGGTCCAACGAAACATGCGCGAATGCACAATACAAACAAATCTGAACAATGCCACGGGCCATCCATTGCACAGCCACGTCTTCAGACTCTTGCCGCGCGTGGTTCCGGGTTGAAATGCCCCTGATGGCTACCCCAACCGCCCTCCAGCCACCAGTGCGCGGCCATCATTCGCGGTTGGTGCTCCTCAGCTGGTTTCACCCTCGATGCGCCACTGTGGGACGTCAGACTCCTGGCAACTTGGCACTTGGCGGCATCATGCCACTGTCATGCAGGTGTGGGAACAAGGCAGCTTATGGTATCTTTTAACTTGTTAGCGGGTTGCTTTGTGAAGCTGTGTTGGGCACATTTTGTGAACATTGATGTTCCGGACTTGTCCAACTGCTACCAGTCTCAGTTTGGACAGCTTGGCTATCGTATTTCATCCACCTCATGAGGTGCCACATGGCATCCATCTTCTCCATGCGCTTGAGAAAGACTTCTAGCCTTTAATATGAATCTCCCAAAAAGAATTGTCAAAACCATCTGTCCAACCCAGTTTTCTTTGGGTTCTGTAAATAAACCTACATACACAAACCAGCATAAACACAACAATTCTTGCTATTGTGTTTTTGCTGGTTCAACCCCCCGATTTTTAACTCTTCATAGGGGTCCAAGCCTGATTTTGCGGGTCCAGCCCATTGACTAAAATCCGCAAACCTCTGATCTTTTCAGTGTTCCAAGTGCTCGAAGCCCAGCATCTTTTTCATTTCTTCAGTTGTTCAATCAGCCTATGCAGAATGAGGTACATGATATGTTTCTCAAAATTGTCTTTCCGGACAAGGGTGCTCATAAGCTGGTAACTAGCGCCCAGCGACCCAGACCTCACTCTCTAGCGGCACGGCTGGCAGCGGCTGGAGGGCGTCGGAAGGCACTTGCAGCAGCTCCTCCGAATCGTCCAGGGACCAGCCTCGGAACGGCAGCAGCGGATGGCATGACATAGGATGAAAACACAGCAACGGGGACAAAACGTTATACAGTATAAGAGGGAAATAGCTAGGACAATAGGAAACGACAATCTAAACAACCAAACAATGGTATATACAAATGCTTGTATATCTGGTGATCATTATTTACCATTGCAATAGCTCAACAAGAGTGGCACAAAAAAAGAAAACCTGGTTTAGTAAATTGAATCTGGTCAGGTATTGAGAGCCAATTTTAGTTCTGTACCTTGTACCATGATCATTATTCTATCGGACTCTAGCATCATCTAAGGCGAGAGAAAGAAAATTGAAGTTTCAATGGCGCCCGGAAAAACATCAACCAAAACATACTGCATCTGCAAAATGGCACTTGTGAAGGTTTGCTTACCTGGGGGCTCAAGCGATCGTCATTTTGACGGGTAATTATGGCCCATATATAATGCCCTATGAACATAATAATTCCGCTACTACCTTGACAAAGGTTATCCAGTTGGTAATTTGGAAAGGTAGAATAGTTTGATTTAGAAACAGTGGGGAATGCGGACGTGCACCCGTCAACATTTGATAAAGGCACAACCCACAACAAATAACATGGACACATGTAGCACTGACACATAGCTAAGAATGTTAAATGCTTCTCGCGGAGGTGCATGATATTGAGCAACTAAGATTGGCGATAAAACAGCCAAACAACCACGCACGTAAGTTAAAAAATGCTTGACTACACACCCAAACAAACCTTACAAGCAGTGGTTGCATCCTGCCTTGAATTGAAGCTCATGACTTTTCTTGGGTCGATGTTTACTGTACCCCTAAACCTAAAATATAAAATCTTGGGCAACCGGTACTTTAACTACACCCTATCACCCGTTTTTTTGAACGATTCAGTTCAAGAACCCGGGGTTACGAACGACTCACCTGACGCACGCGCCAAAGTACGCTCGTCGCCCTCGTAGATCAGTGGCTGCACGAAACAAAAGTGTCACTGCTTGGCGATCACCAGGGCCACCTTGCAGACTGCAGCGCCATAGGGCGCAGCTGATGGAAATTCACTGGACAACAGATGGGGCTTGCCCAGCAAAACTAAAGGAATAGAATGAAATTTAGCAGCCAGTCTGAGGTTCAACTACATGATTGAAATCACGCCCTTCCATCCAAACAATTTTTTTGTTGGGTATGTTTGCTATATGTTCCCCTCAGTTCAAGAAGCATGCTATGAGACAATTTTGGTGTCGAAGGGGACGGGTGGGTTTGAAGCACACCGATGCCCTCCCGAACATATCTCAATACTAACCAGGCAGCTTTCAAAAGGGCGCCGTTCTTGCAGAGTCTGCCGATTAAACCTTCAACCCATTGGTTTC